ATCTCCGAAATAGTGCTATAACTTCTACCGCTTAGACTTTGTTGCTTTTTCAATTTTTCCTAATAAACAATCGTGGTACAAAGCTCAATAAAAAAATATTAATAATAGTTATATAGTTTTATTTACGAAAAAAATCGAAAAATAATTTTCTTTTCATTTCCAACTGCACTAATTTGTAACCAGTTGCCACATCAGCAAGTTAATTTCTACGTGCATAGAACTTCAAACCGCATCAATGCCTCTGAGTTAAAGCGCAAACAGTCAACGACGTAACGTAGACGTAGGTTGACGCAGACACGATCTATCTTATGGGATTCGCGTCTTAACGAAAACTCACCACCGCATGGCGGTGACGTTGCCGTTGCTTTTCTCTCTCTCTATCAACAGTAAATTTGATATGCTGCTACGTACGTCAACCTACGTTTATGCTACTTCGTTGACTAACTGAGCTATTAACATTGAAATTACGCCACTCGCCTTTTGATGGCTTTCATAAGTTACTCTGAAGCTTTTGCCTAACTAATCACAGTGAAAACTGGCATCTGTCGACGTTAATCCCAAATGCGAATGGCGACACGTCGTCAATATATGTATGTATGTACAATAACTAAGACGCTTGACACCAGCGCATCACTTAAGCCGATTTCTCGTTTGAAGATATAACTTAAAGCAGACATAAATCGTTGGCATTTAGGCTTAAATAGACATACAAACTTGTACGCATACATTTTCAAGTTATACGCTTGCGAATAGGGATGGCAGCGATTAATCATTTGATTAAATTAATCGATTATTTTTTTCTAATTTACGATTTAATTGCAACGTAGTTTTGTGTTTCATTTATCGATTATTGATTTGAGCAACACAACCCAAATAAACAATTTTAAGAATTTTTGTCTATTTGTCTATGAAATTGAATGCAGTTTTCACCGATGCATTGATAGAAGTCTAACATAAAAAACTAGAAAGTAATAAATTAGATAGTTGCCTTCTGTTTGAAAATTGCAGTTTAAGTAAATTGTCGAGTAAAGTATTGCAAGGCTTGCAGCCGAAAATATATTTGTTGAAGGTTGCCATATGTTTGAAAATTTTAATTCAGTTTAAATGATAAGATAAATTGAATATTGCAATATGTGTATCAAACTGAAGAGGTTTAGGAAAGTTTACTGCCAAAAATGCTTTTGAGAAGGCTTGCCACCTATTTGAAGGATTTTATTAAATTAAATTGATATAATAAATGAATTTTAAAATACGGGTATCAAACAGCACAAAACACTTTTAAGGCGCAGTGAAGCACGCCGGGTATTTGCTAGTAATAAATAATTATCACCGCTAAAAATACTCGTTTTATTATTTTTAAGGCTAATTAACAAGATAATTAGAAATTTTTATGGAAAAGTGTTATTGTGAATACTCACTGTAAAAAGTGCCATTAAAAATTCGATTATTTAATTTTTTTCGGTTGTGATTAATCATATGATTAATTAATCGATTTTTAAGTTTTTTTTGTCATCCCTACTTGCGCAAGGAATTAATAATTAGGAAATTATGAGCTCCTTGAGTCCAAAGTCGCAACGAACCAAAAATTCTTTAACAAAATGTGCGTTGAAATGTGTAGTAAGTATAAACAAAATTTAAAAAAGGGAAAACGCTTTTGCTGTGAGCGATTCTGTTTTAGAAATAAATAATTAAATACGCTCTACTGATTGGAGAAAATTTTGTATTTTGCTAATCTTTTTCTACTTATTTTTGTAGGTAACGAAAACAGCACTTTGTTTTTCTCAAAATTTGCTCCAAGTGTGTGAAATTATCTGCTTAGCATTTTCACATTCAGCTTAGTTTATCATAATAATAAATCTAAAATGTGTTAAAAACTAGAGTTAGCAACATCTTTACTAGAATATCTTATGCACATATATACATACAGCCATATCTGCATAAATAAACATGTTTTCTTACTGACATATGGCTACATACATATGTATGGAAAAATATTAGTATTAATTTAATACACAAATAAGTGCTAAAAGTATTTTAGAGCTGAGTGATATTTTCTAATTGACCCTTTAGACTTATTCGCGGGGTATTGAAAACTTCAAAATATTGCTTTCAAATAAAATTGAGTAAACACAAGTGTATATTATTCATTTAACCAGCTGGAAGCCGTATCCATATGGACAGTTATGTTGGCTTTTTTAATAAATATTAGAAAGTTTATTTTTACCTCCGGAACGAGTTATAATTTGGTTTGGGAAGTATCGAGTACTTTTGAGGATATCGATAGATTTTAAGGATCAGGTATTTTCGAGAGTACTGAGTACTTTCTTTAAATATGTATACACATGTTGGTAACATTTCAATGCAAAAAAAAGCAGTGTAGAAATTTCACAAGCTGGCAGCATTTTATTCAAATTAGTATATTAATCTCAAACGACGTCAAATGAATGGCTAACTGTAGTGGGTACAAGTATTTTACTCGAATATTTTTAAAATTTGAAACTGAGTACAATCATTTCTGAATCTCGCTTAATGTAAATATAACTCAGTACTCTTAAGTATCTATTTAACACCTAATGCTAAGTACTTTGAACCGGTCCTGAGTACAAAGTGATGATTGTAACAGAGTATTTTTGAGCTCTGACTACTTTCAAGTTTTTTTAAGTTCTGAGTATTTTCGAGTTCTTTTGTGAGTACTGAGTACTTTTGAATACTCGGTATCGATACTTTTAACAATCGTTTACTGTATATCCTTTTATGAATAGAATTTTGAGTAATTTTGCTATCGGTACTGCCCAACACTAGGTATAGATACATATCTACTCCTGAGTGGAAGATCAACCTATCTCGGCAGCCAGTTCGAAAACGCCCCGCCTCAGAAACCTTTGAAGAACGCCCCACCTCAGCTGCCTGAGAAAGGGTGTCCTTCAATCAAATCCGGAAGTAGGGCATTCTTGAAAGGTTTTCTGAAATAGGACGTCTTTAAACTGGCTGCCGAGATAGGTCGATCTTCCCCTCAGGAGTCGATATGTAGGTGTACTGATAGGACACTCGCCGATTGGTAATCACGCGGCAAGACTAAGTACCAGTTACTCAATATCAATAAAGTCGATAAAGATGTTTAACCTGAATTGAGTGTTAACCTGACATTGAGTAATCGGATCTAAGTACCACAACGGATCTTCAAAGTAGCGGCTGCTTAGGGAACTCTAAGGTGGAGCCTTCGTAGCTTTTTCTCTTAACCTGCTCAGCTTTTGTGTGGCTACCGTCTGAATGCCTTGTTGCTTTAGCTTAGCAGTTACCTTGTGATATCGCAAAGTACCAATAGGAGTGTTGCCGGAACTTTTTTAGATAACTTTTCTAAAAGAAGTAAAATCGATATTAGCGGTGCAACCAAATCGAGGCCGGCTTTTCTGGCCAACTCATCCACAACACAAGCAACACATTCCCAGCAACAACCTAATGTCCTCATGTCCATATAAGTTTGATTAGAAAAAAATTCAGAGTCAACGGAAAGAGAGGTTAGGCATTCCCCCCTACTTGCTTAGAGCGCGCCATAAGCAACACCGGGGTCATTATTGGCGCTTGCCTACGACCAGCAATTTAGCAGACAATGGACTGCTTCCTTAATGGTAGCTACCTAAGCCTGGGAAAAACTACAAGGATCTGGAAGAGTAAATTTGACGGTCGCCACATGCAAGCTCAATAAAGAAGCATTATTCTTCGCAGAAGCGGTTGAAAGATGGGTTCACCTCGATACCTGCAAAATAACCATGAGGCCATAATTGTACTCGAAAAGATCGAGGGGCTCCTTATGATGAGCAGATCCTTAGATATGGGTTTGCGGACAGGCCACTTCACTTTGGGGAAACAGGGATAAAGATCCTGTGTGGTAGCACAAGGAATCGATTGAGGCCCTAAATGTGCTGGCATGCTAACCGACAAGTATGGCACCACCATAAATATTTTAGTTTTTCCAAAAGAGGGTTTTCAGCATATTCCGCACTAGACTTAATGTTATTTAAATGTTTTGCAATTTTCTTAAATTTTTAATTTAAGACATTGAATACACTGACATTGTCTGCTAATTTCGACATTAATTCTTAATGTGCAACAACAAGAACGAAATCAATTGTTCCATTGTGCAAGTAGCTCCATGTATGCACATTAGGGTGCTCCAAAAATACATGTGGGGGAGGAGAAAAGTCGGAATTTTTATGCTCTCACCCCCTAGGATTGTTCAATACCGAAAAAATATAGCCCTTTTTTTTGAAATCAAAAAATATAAATTCTAAACCATTTCAACGAAAAGTTTTTTTTTTTCCATACCAAGTACATGGAAAACTTTGAGCGCTTTAAATCGTAGGCGGTGAGAACATTAAAATTTCTACTTTACTTATTTTGGACCACCCTAATGTACATACCTAATTGTTTAAGAAAGTATGCATTTCTGTGGTTGCACACATCGACAATAAAGAAATTCGCTATAGAATTAAAATTGCCTTTTAAATTTTTTAATCCATTGCAATGCCAAGTGGCGTTTAATAAACAACATACGAAAGTGATTATAGACAATTGAAAAGAGATATGCATGTGAATCTATTTAGTGATATGTATGTACCTTCGACAAAGGCATGCAGTTCGTATTTTTAAACAACGTAAAAATCAGTTCATATGAGTGTTTTTTTACAATACAAACAAACAAACAATATCGCGCACACTTATCGGTGCCTTATCGCCCCTCGAGATCGGAATACTCTTACATCTGCCGCTGCCTCTTCCCTCCCCCCTCCTCTGCCACGACCAAAGTTACTGACACCGCCAGCGCCATTAAAACTGCTACTATTTTTGCCGTTGCTGCTGGGGTGCTGCCACCCCCCACACCGCCAACCATTTCTCATACACGGCGGCGCGCACTAACGCCCTAACTGGCCGCGGGAGGTGCCTATGCAGTCGTCGCTAGCTAGATCATCAAATCAGTCAGTAGCCAGCGTCAAATTTCGCACATATGCGCCAATTGTAGTATATCACAAAATTGAAATTCTCAAATATTTATTCCCCAGCAGTTGGGCGATGCGGACGTACCTTAGCCACAGAGCCGTTATAAGCGTTACTAATATTACAAAATTGTTCGCAAAAGTTTTAAAAAGGAAATGAACGCGCAGTGCAAAAGCTCTAACTTAGCGGTGATTTGTGAAAATTCAGTGTGAATTCAGTGTAACCTGAGTGCGGAAGTGTGGCAAGCAACGCAGCAAGCGAAACACGTTCGAAAGTTTACTTTTAGTATATTTTTTTTTTTTTTGGAAATTTTTGAATCAATACAGTTTATGTGATTTTCTTATAAAGCACGCGTCAAACAACTTTTAACTTTAACTAAGTGTAAACGCATTGAACTGGCAAAACGCATAAGAACGTATGCTCGAACACCCTTTAGGGAAATGCCGCATGCATGAAGGCATGGAGATCACTTTGAGCCACTAATGCTGCTACTTAATACAAGCATCCATCCACTCATATTGAGCTGACAATTTCGTGGCAAAGCTATTCGCAAATAACTTTTTCGTTCACGTACAGAGTTTCCTTCTTGGCAATCCGTCTCTGCTTGTATAAGTTGAGCACCCTTGACTGCGTCGCTGCTTGGATTCAAATTCTTTTTAGTATTTTTTTTACTTTTGGTATACATATCCGTTGTGACACAAGATGCATTCGACTGCTAGCAAAGCGTCAGGATTCATTGGCCTGATGATTGTGCAAATAATTTTACTTGCACTCTTCTGGTTGTTCGTGCGCTACAGCGATGAAGCATTGCCAAGCGATGAAGGCAAAGTATTAGGCGAACAACACGTTTCCAAATATCCGCGTGAGTATTCTGACAAAGTGTATCTGCTTGTTCTGAATGTCCTTTAGTCCTAGTTATAAGTGAATAAGTGATTGAAATAGAAATAGAAATGTGCGACAGCCGAAAGCATTTTATAAAAGTAATACACTCAACGAAAATTCTTACCATTTTTTGGGGGAGATTTGCAATGGAGGATGGCTATACGATTGTGTGTTTATTTTTATGCGCTTCTTTATCTCACCATTTTATGCTCTTGTGCAGGTCAATAAACTGTGAAATTGTCCCTCAGAGTCCATTGACTATAGCCTATCTAGAATTCTTCTATTTTGTGAACCTATCCAGAGTCGTCCTTGGAGGAGCGGCCAACTAACTTACAATTCCATTACAATTTTTAATACATCTTTTGCTAGTTTTACTCATTAGGGTGTTTGAGAGGAATTCATTAAAGTCATTCCTAATCTGTTACTCTCAGAAATTTGTTCAATAGTTCCTCAAATACTTCCCCAAGGATCCCTTCGGACAGGTCTGACAAATTTCTCAAGAACTTTTTTTCTCTATATTCTCATCAAGATACTAGCGCTTTTATAAAAATAATCCCTCTTCTTTCTATGAAAAGTTTAGGAAATCGTCGAGAACTCAAGGATATACAATTAAGCTTGGTAACCCTGAATTGACAAAAAAAAATAAAAAATTTGGACATGAATAATTAGTCTACTACAAATAATGGGAAATTACCTTTCTACTGAGACCCCATAAGTCTAAGTTGGAATAGTTTTGGCCCAGTTATTCAAGTTTTTCGTAAATCAATCTTTAAAAAAAATAAATAAAAAACAGCATCAAAAATCTCATTATTACAATTCTGTTGCAAAGGTTTTCAAATATTTTTACCCACATTTTGTAAATTCAATCTGTTTTGTCATCTGAGGGTTTTTTTTTTTAATAAGTTCTATAAGAAACTATTTTTATTCATAAAAAAATTCCATTTTTGGATTTATTTTCAAATCGGTCCAGCTCACGTAAATCTTAATATTTTTCCGAAATATTTTGGTGGACGTCTTCAAATACAATTTTTTGGTCATGCAGTCTAATGTACTTGAGTATTACGGCATTCGAAAACATTTACCCTATCACCAATATCAACAGAAACCATAGGTCTGTATGTTTCAAATACATATTTGGAATTAGTCAAAACTGAGATGAGCAACAAATTAACAATTAATAATTAAAACCCCAAATAGTTTATGATATATGTACAAGTAAATATAACAACAAAATAAAAATTTGTATACAAATGAATTACGAGTTTGCTAATACATACACACGTAGGTAGATAAAGTTGTGGAGCGAACAAAAAATTAAAACTGATAACACTATTTTTACACTCAGAAAATAATTTAGATAGGCCATAACTAAATCTCATTCTATCAAATTGGACCGATTAGAAGAACCAACAGCTCAGCAACTAATGAAATATGAAGTATATTCGCCAATTTGGTCAAATTGATTTCAACGAGTTGATAGTATTTGATTTACTTGTTGTTGGGCTTCAAGATATGTCTTAATTTTCGTCGATTATTGCGATTTTTCGTTCTAATTAAAATACGAATATATAGATATGCGCAAATAAACTATATAAACCAAGAAATACCTTGATATCTTGCATCTGCTTAAATGTATTTACAATTTTCTCAGTAAATGTAAAGAAAGCTTTATTATGGATATTGTTTCAAACTGAAAAAAGCTTCGAAAACCTTAGTACAGTCAAATTAGGGTCGAAAATTTGGTAAAATAAAGAGTTTGCATAGTGATCACTTCTTGATTTGCGGCGCTCGGGCAGCTGTGGAATCGCCACCATCTTCAAGGAAAGGGTGATCAGCGTTTTTACATCCTCAGATCTCAGATCGTTTTCTTTTCAACTCATCACATTTCTTTTTAATTTTTGGTACGGAGTTAATATTAAAAAAAAAACAGCGTAGGTGAGCAAAGCAGATAGTTATGATGCCAGCCTGTGATTTTTGGAAGGATCATCGAGAATTCGTTATGAAAGCAAAAAATCAAAAACAAGAAAATGTAAAGCTTTTTCATTATTTAACGGCATCTGTTTTGGTACCGCTAAATTTCCGGAAATTCCTTTTAGTGCATAATTGAATGCTATTGCGGCTACGTAACGATGTTCCAGAGATAAAAAAAGTAAAAAAAGTGAAAAAGCTCAATTCCATTTCCTTACTTTTCAAAATTAACCCCTTAATCCATTTCCTACACAAGTTTGAAACGAACTGCAACAAATCACGTAACAGCAACGGGTTGTTTATAATACAAATATCGTTACAATTTTCTAAAATTCCCAAAAATTAAATCACAAAAATTTGCATATCTCTCAACAACATTTCTGCTGTCAATCATGAGAAAATCTATTAGCTCACATTCTCACCCATATAAAATGTTTGAGTAGCAGTCAAATGATTTTGCAATGTACATACATATGCATACACATGCGCACCTATTTCTGTGTGTTGTAAAATATATATGGGCACTCTTATGAGCATAATATCGAATGTCATTAAGTGTAATCAACGCAGTGTTTCGTTTATCTATGGTGGGAACATTTTTTTTTTTCAGGCGGCAATGTAACAAAGCTCGTATAAAATATGGTTGTAACAAACAACACGTATTTACGTAGTACTACTTGTGATCATTGACGCCTGCAGGCTCAAAATTTTTGACGTCTCGCATATGTTTGGATACAAGTTGTCAATCAAAATTTTTTGCAAGATATGAATACTATACTCGTACAAGCAAATAACAGAAACCGAAACAAAAAGAAAAGAGGTAGTGGGAAAAAGTTTTTACATATTTTCTGTGCGCAGTAGTGCATATACATATACTTATTTGATAAGTACATATGTATGTATATCTGTGCATAATACGCAAGTGTAGGTACTTTTTGCCAAAGGCTTTAATTGCTGATTGTATCAGTGCAAGCTGTCTTTGAAATGAAAAATGGTTCCGGCAATAATTCGAAGTTATATAAGCTGTTATTAGCTTTTAAATTTAGAAAGTTCTCTGCACAATTTTGATAAAAAAAATTTGTGATTTCTTTGAAGAGCAATATGCAATATGCAGCGGTTGAGATAAAGAAATCCTATTCATTTTGAAAATTTCTACTTATTTCACCTTCGCCCTTCAGAAATACTTTTGTTACTCATACGACATGTAGTACTTATGTAGGTACTAGGAATGTTAATCCCGGGATCCCGCGATTTTTCCAGTAAAAAAAGTTAAAGGCAAATAATGAACAAGCTTATTAAAATATCACAACAATGTGGTTGTCAAATGAAAAGGGTTCAAAAACGATTTATTTCAAACATATATTTCAGAGGGTTGACACCTATTCAAAAAGCTCACATCAATTCAAAGAACAAATTAAACGAAAAATTTTAGCATGAGCACAAAACAAAAGAAGTTTCAGAAAGCTTTATTTTAAAAAATATTTTTAAAAGGAGCTGCCAACTGTTTAGAAATTCTACATCAATTTAGTTCACATTTTAAGCCAAATATTTTATTATGGGTACCCAACGAGAGATTTGCAAGAAAGCTTTATTTAGAATATATTTTTGAATAGGGCTGCCACCTAAATAAAAATTTAGATAAAATATTTTATTATGGGTATCAAACGAGAGAGGTTTTGAGAAAGCTGTATCATTATCGAAATAATTATTGACGATGGTGGCAATCACTATTTAAGGAATTTCAAATCAATTTAACTGAAAAGTAAAATTAAATCCCAATAAACTTATAAATGCGAAAGTGTGTGAGTGAATGTGTGAGTAAATACGACTTAGAGATAGTTTACGACCTGCCTAAAAAGTTAAATTTTAATTTCAAAATATGGATGCCAAACAAGCGAGGTCTAAAAAGGCTTTAAAATTTTATTTTTATTAATAAGTTAAGTGGACCATTATCTATTTTTTAAATATTAAAAAAAAAAATATTTTTTTCAAATCCACAGAATTTTTTCTTTTGATTGATATCCATATTGTTATTCTACAATGCACCAAATCTTTTAATAATTTGTTTATGCCATCATGTCCTAGAAATTTCAAAGTCCTTTAAAAAAACAAAATTCTAACTTCACAGAGAAAAATTAAATAGCAGTTATACTGTATTTGGCTCCTAGTTCTGTGAATATATTGATTTTTTCGTGTGTTTAAAAAATGTTTGGTTTTTGTCGCACGGTGTTATCAGAGTAGATTATACCTCCTCTAGTTGCTAGCTGTTATAGCCATCTCCTGAACTCGTGAAGGCAAGAATCGCATGCTTTGAAATGTTTCCTCAATCCTTTCTCAGATTTATTCTTAATAATTTCCCGTATTACCACTGTGTCCGGGACCCAGTACAGAATGGCTATATGTTGTCGTATAGATTGTCGCGATCGGTGGCATTTCTGAATGCATGCCAGATCAGTTCTTACCGCCCCCAGCTCCTACAAAGTAGCTTAACGAGGTGCTGTTTTAATTGAGCTAGGTCCATTGTATATGCCTCAGCCTGGCTCACAATGCAGTACTCCAGGAATCTCAAGCAAGGTTTATTGGAGCAGACGCCAAGAGATTTTCCTCAGTCGCTCGCCGACTATCCAAACCTGAGGCAGACACCTGAATATGTGGTCAGCTGTGCTATAGTGCGTCGATCACAAGAGCCTGCTGTCACCACTGCAGCGAGTACAAAATAATAAAAAAATTACATACTTTTATTGTCAATGTCATAAAAAATTTAACATGCTTTTTAAAAATATTGCCAACAGAATTCAACATCAAATTAAAGCATTTTTATATTAGCCTTTAATTATTAACAGACACATACAAACATATAGTACATTTCATATAGCTGTGTGGGTGTGTGTGGGTGAGCTTAGTTTATTTACAGTTAATTATTGAAAGCTTCACGCGCGCTTGTGTATTTACATAAATCCGCCAATGCAAATACATACGATGAATATCCCACACGCTTACTGATAGCCAAGATAAACTCTGCCATTAATCTTAATACAATTGGCTTTTGACAATGCAATTGCAGCAGCCTAATTGAAGCAATTAGACGAAATTAATATGCATGGCCCACAAAGCATATAGCTGAGCAACATATGTACATACATGCATACTTTTGCACCCACATATGAACATGTAGGTATGTATGCATTAATGTATACATATGTACAAGCATATGTTTCGTTTTTGTTAATCCATGGAAATGTAAGCAAGTGCGTGCTTAGTTTTTTTTGTATAAACGCGCACTTCATACAGCAAATGAATACATACTATGTATATATACATACATACATACATATATGGCAATTATGCATCATATTTATGTATGTATGTATGTTGAAGCATCTTTAACTTCAATTAATAAACGATAAATACGCTTAATAAACTGATGACAGCTTGAGGATGAGTGGCTGTGTAATTTTTTTGCATAGTCATAATCCAGCCTTTAATTGGATTTTATTTTATGAGCAAGCATTTAATTCTGCACTCTAGGTAAGCTCTTTAATGGTGTAAAATTAAATAGTTAAAATTCCCCGCAAAAGGCAGCTCCTTCCCCGATTCGCCGCAACGAAGCTGGGTCCGGACGATTCGCGTTTTCTTTGAACAGATAACCATGACTGTTTCTGCGGGATCGAAAATTAGGCTAGTTCGTTGTGAGCTGTTCTAAGGTAGCAGAACTCGGCGGTGTCGTAGCTGTAGTTGAGACAGAAGATGTGTCTTCTATAGACCTTTTTTGGAAAGTCTCACGGGCGACGGAGAAAAAAGATCGTCGTCCACCCGAGATACTGCTATTCTGACTAGCTACGCTGCGCAGCAGATCCGGTGTCCGAAGCATTCGATCTACTACCAGGCTATATTTATGAAGTGTCGGGTCCTAATGACCTGCAGTGAATAAATTAATTATACTTTTAAAATTTTTTTTCTTGACGGTGCTGCGCTAATAAGGCGAACTTAGCGCAGTGGGTAGACCATTGGCTTTGTAAGCGGGGGTCGCTGTGTCGAATCCCAGTGACCGCGATGAAGACGTCTGATAAAACGGCCTTAAGTTCAATAAAAATTATTTTTTATAATTTATTAGGCCAAAAAATAACCATTGTGATTTTGCTCAATTTTTTTTTTTTGAGATGGCATATTTTCAAAAACTATTTTTTTTTAACAAAAAATTTTTCAAGAAAAAAATTTGTTTAAATATTTATTTTCATAGAGAATTTTGATTTGTGTATGTGTAAGTTTTTTCAATTTTTTTCCTCGCCCCGTTCGCGAGATATTTGGAAAACTATTAAATCGATTTGTTTTTGTTTTTGTGCTGTAAAGTTTTTAAAATTGTATTAATCGAGCTCAAATTTCATATTTATTATTTAAGTTTATGCATCAACCCTAAAAATTTGAAACAAATCAAACACATCAAGTGTGAACCCCGTCCGTTTTAATATGGAACGCCCCATAAATGTATATTATAGATACCTCAGAATTAATTTCAGAAAAGCGCAATTTGTTAGTGCAAAAAAAAGGGAATTTTATGAAAGCGGAAGAACTGTGAATTATTTTGATTCCTTCAGTAGAAAAGTGTTATTAAAAAATGCCGTAAAATAGGTTCAGAATTTTTGGAACAACTATAGCCCATTTCCACCAAGAGCTTAACTGTAGTTAGGTGGCCAGGTATGTGTAAATACCATTAAGATGTGGTGATCAGCAAAGTTTATTTCTTACTTTTCGCTTTTTTGGTTTCGATTGCGTGTACTTAATAAGACCAATGATCTCCTTTTTCCAACAGGCATAAACTGCAGTTAAGGTTTGGTGGAAATGAGCTATAAATGTGTCAATTTTTGAATCGATCCAAGTAATCGAATTTCAAATTTTTCTTTTATTTCTGTATTTACAGATTTCCAAGATGTACAGGTGATGATCTACATTGGCTTCGGCTTTCTAATGACCTTCTTGCGCAAATATGGTTATAGTGCAACTGGATATACATTATTTATGACCGCGCTGGTTATACAGTGGTGTATTCTGGTTAAAGGATTCTTTCACATGGAAGATGGGAAAATAAGGTAATGATAAGCATTTAAAAAAAATATGCTGGTATTTGAAACCAAATAATTTATAAAACTAGTGCATGCAGCGGTTTTCGTATTCAACACTAAAAAAAAAATAACAAAAAAAGCCAAAAATTTGGATAACAATGACCATATTAGTTTGAGTTAAAGTCTATAATTTGATTAGCTACATATGTATCTATGTACATAAGTATGTATAAATTAACTAGCACAGTATTCCACCAATCATCAATTGTATAAAAGCATAACTAATTAAACAACAACAATAATAACCCAGCACTGGCTAAATTCCTGCGGCAATTTAAATAAATGAAATGAAGCAAAAAGAAAATAAATTCGTTGGAAAATCTCTAGATAATACATGACTAGAGATACATAGAAAGCCAGCTGAGCGAAGACTAACGAACGTGAACAGCAGAAAAACAAAAGCTGTTGTTGCATTGCATTAGAACATCAAGTTAGTTGAAAAACGAAAGAGAAGCGAAATAAAAACAAAAAAAAAAAACAATATATGGCAGACACTGTATTTTGCTAACCACAACAAGGATATAAGGACACAAATGCACAGCTTGGTGCAGCAAAAAATGCAAAGAAAAAATCGCTTGTAGTTATGGCTTAACTTGTGTAGATAACTAAAAGAGAGACACGCAAACAAGCGCAGAACAGAAAGTACTAAGGCGCAGCATTAAGCCGCAACTGCAGACGCAATTGCATTTTCTGCTATCTCTATGCGATCTATGTAAGTAGGTACATATGTATGTTTGTGTGTGTG